AATTCATGGTATTTTTTTTTATCACAGTTTCCTTCTCTGAGAATAATACTTGAACTGACAGAGATTTTCTAAAGGAACCCTGCAATGCCTTTTTGCACAGAACCCGCCAACCTGCCTGTTTATGTGACTGCTTGGTAATACTGTACTAGATGCAAATGTAATACCTACAAAATCATAACCTGTCGAGTCTAATTCTCCAAGCCCCCCAGAAAGAAAACACTGTGCATGTACAATATGTGGAGTTTTCATTTAAAGCAGAATCGTCTCCATTACAGCTCACAGGAATTCATGTGAGATCCTGCGTAACGGCGAGGCTCCGAATACCCACAGCGCAGCAGAAAAAACATATTTTTACCAGGTCTAATCCAAGAAATTTGTCTTTCACTTAGAAGATCACAGTTGCCTAGCATTTTATAGTTTTTATTTGACTTTTTTTAAAAAAATAATTATAGAAAGGAATATATGATTTCGGTCAAAATAGGTAGTTTGGTCCACGTCAGTCTCCAGGGTGACACTAGTGCTGGAGCAACGAGAGGACTCTGAATTCTCCACGGGCCAGGGACCCCGTGGGCAGTTTCTGAGATGACTGATGCAGTGCATGGCAAAGACACGACACTGCTTCTCACGGATGAAGAGCACCTTGGAGGCTCACGGAGCCCAGCGTGAGAGAGAGGGACGGAAACGAAGGGAGCCAGGCTGCAGCAGAGATCGGCGGCCCGACGTGTCAGCCGGCGCCTAGTCCCTTCAAGGGCAGGTGCTCAATCTTTTGGGAACTGAGCTACTAATTTTCAGCAGATAGTTTTCCCTTTATTTGTTTTGCCAGATGAGGCAAAATTCCTAAAATTTTTCTCTCCTCTGCTACCTTGATCTACTTTTGCTATCCAAAAGCTAAAGAGAACTGAGAATATATGCGGCCAGAGCAGCTGTAGGCAGCACAGCACTGACACGGCTGGTATCTTGATACAGAATTGCCTACAGATTTACTTTGCTTCAAAGACCAAATCCTCAGCCACTGTTTGTTTTCTAATGGTATGTCAATAACGCTTAGAAATGTGCCATAGGTACTACTCTTTTTTTCAAATTATTGTAATATTGCAAGGAAATTAAAATATAAGAAACTGAGAAGAATGAGAAAGTAATATGGATGAGAGGTTTTTCTGACAAAAACTGAATGATAAACCTTGCCAGGGAATGAGGTTTCCTCATCTGCAATGTGCCAATATCAAAAGAGKTCTATAGCACTGCAGAAATTTGTTTCCCTTGGAAACAACTCAGTTCAAATAAATAGTGCAAGGATTTAACATTATTATTAAAACTGAAATATTCCTAGAACTTTTTAGTGGAATCGCTAAGGGTTAAATCCTGCAGGTCCGTTTCCCATATCACTTCAAATTAAACCATGTAGTAAAAGACAGTGAAATTCGATTTCTAAAGTCACAAACTCGAGTAGAAAACAATATATACTTTTTTTTTTTGTTTCAGTGCTGTGTTCTGACTTGAATATTGGAGTCTTTGAATCAAGTCACATTTGAGTTTGCATTSCTTTCAGCACCACAGCATCACATTTGGAGTTTCAGTGGTTCACAAGCATCTGACTGTGCTAATAAATGAAAATTAACCACTACTGGAATAAAACTTAAAGGATGTGAATTAACAAGACAGTAATAAAACAGAAATTTTGATACGGCGGCAAAAGAGGATGCAGAGGTTGCATCCTTCACTGTCTGAGATTTCACTTCATTGTTTTGTAAGAGCAGCAGGTATTTGCTAAACATGAGATGGCAATGCCTCCCCAAAGTTTTGAAATACCCCTGCCAGTGTAAATCAGCAATGAGTGCAATGAAGCCAGGGAAGCAGAACTATAGCCAGGGCTTGAGTGCTTGAAAAGCACTCCTCTCTGCAAGGAGACCACTCTGCAATAGCACATGTGGTTCTTCCTGGACTCGTGTTTTAAAAACGCTGATTTAAAATTTTTCATTGCAAACAATCAAACATCCCAAAAAGCTGCACATCTCTTGAGACTTAACTCATAATGAAAAATAACAAAATCAACCCACAGAAATTTTAAGAAATCAATATTCCTGTTTGGATGATCCACTTCACACAGCACCCCAAACAATCCAGATCCCTGATATACATATAATTAGTGCTATTCCACACACCCTACCCCTGTTGCATATATCTTCTACTTGTGCAGCTGTACAAATGGCATTTTACCCAAAAGAGTTATATTCTCCCAACTGCTTTTTAAATGGTGCACCCCTGGTCTTGTATGTTAATGTTGCAGGTAAGGCCCCTACATTCCACTTTTAACAGAYGCTGCAATATCAATTTAGCTCTTATAGAGCTTTCAAATTATATAGGACAGAGTAGAATATTGAAGGGACTAAATGGAAAGATTTTATGTTGACTGTGCTTTATACATATACATATACTTTATACATATAGATGGTGAAAAAACAGCATTTATGCAAACACAGTTTTGTATATTTGAACATGCATTTGCAAAGAATAAAAACCTTTTTTAAATTCTAGCAGTTGTATACATTTGTATTTTTATATATTATAAAATAAATGTTATTTTTCCTATTTATAGTTTTTCTATCTGCAGACATTCCCTCTGCCACTTCTCATAAAGGCTGTGAGGAAAAACACTGATCTTCAAGAATCTTTCTTCATTTTCAAGAAGAAAGCAMATCTGCACTTTCAGGACTCAGACGACACAGTATGCAAGGCATCCCAGACAGTCTGTATCTCTGCGCATCGTAAAGATAAGAAATGGTCCTTCCAAAACAATGCAATGAGACATGCAAAATCTTGCTTGAGGAATTTAAGTACTAGCTTATCACATTAATTTTGACCCTCATGGGGCTGGGAAAGAACCATCTCTACATAACATTCATCTTATTTTGAAAAACTCCATTTATGACTAAATCACTAAGTAATTGTATTTATGGAATTCTATGGTGATAAAGTTCCAATGGCAACTGACAGATCAAAGAGTACTTCTCAGYAGATTCAAAGCTGTTAAAAACTGGCATTTTGTATAAAATATGTTTACCAAAGCAAGTGCTACAGCTGAGGAAAAAAAAAAAGTTGAATTCTTCTGGCATAAAATCATTTTTCAGGTTGGAAACAGATGCAGCAAATGTCAAATTAGGTGCCTCTAGCATAACCCTGAGGAAGCTCTTGTTTGCACAAAAACCTGCTGCTTCTCTCAACATTGGAGATCTTGTCCCTTCTCTAAAGCCACATCACCGGCAAACCCTGCAGCACCTTGGATATGGTACTCCACTAAATCAGCCTGTAACTCATGAAAAAACACTGTGATGTGCCTTTTATTTAAATACTCCAAACTCATTAGTCTGTTTGGATAACAAAGAATGTCACAGTTTACAGTTTACATTTAAATGCTCAGATTCCCTACAAACCATTCTCTTGTAATATTTGCCACCTGGAATACACTTGGGTTACAGAGAATGGAGTTTGCTCTTCTGCGATCATGAATCTTCCAGGGTTTCATCTTGCATTTTAATTTCATTATTTCCTATCACTCACAGCACATGTAGGTAGTAGTGTCTCATCTGAAAGAATCTGTTCCTTGAGGGGTTTGCCAACCAACAGGCTACCAAATCCCTGAATCGTGTTTGACAACCTTTAAGACCATCTCCGAAGAAACATTGGCAAGCACGCCAGATAGGTCTATGACCCAGACAACCCAATTTGCTAAGTCTCCCCATCTCTCCTAATTGGAAGACCCCATTAGGTTAATTAGATGGCTTAACTCCCAAGAAAGTAACTGCCAAGACTTAAAATATGCACCTTTCCCAAGTCACTCCCTCCCAATGCCCCCTAGGACAACTTTAAGGCAAAAAGTCCCATTTGCGCAAAAACAAAGCAGAGGCGAGCGGCTGCTAACGTAGCTTGACACAACCCGATTAAGAGACTCTTGGGTGGCTCTGTCTGGACAGCCCTTGTAAGACGTTAAAGCGATCAACACCTGACATCTGTTAGCACGAGGCATTCTGAGGTAAAGAGCAACTAAATCTAAAGAAATCAGGTACTTAGACCAGTTTAACTTTTTCATGAGGTGATATCCTTCCTGACACTGTAATCTTTCTTCCTGGAGTGACAGAAGACTTAAGTAAAAGAAAACAACTTGCAGTCCCTCCCTTGCAGTAAGCAATATTTATCTTTTGTGGGGCACTGAACAATGAAGAACTTCATTTATCCCCATTTCAAACGGAATAAAAATGACTTCAGCACTAAATCTGTGCTAACACCTAAGCAACTGTGACTCTTAAAAGAATTTTTTTTTTCAATTTTACTCTGATATGAAAAAAAAAGGCAATTRAAAAGAAATCATCAATTCTCCTGACTAGTGAGATAAACAATATTTGGAACAAAGCAGTCCATTTATGTGTGTGCTCCATGGGCACTAATTGAGGCTTCAAGGAACAATTAGTCATACCAAAGAAGGAAAGGTAAAACACCGTGTTCAGAGATGAGATCCTGCATCCTGAAAGCAATAAAAGAAAGTTTTACTCCTGTCTTCGCAATTGCAGTGTATCAAGKATACACACTATTTTACAGGTTCAGGTTGAAAAGCAAGGATTTTTGATGAAGACCCTAAAAGAGTGAGACTTAATTCTTAAAAAGTCTACAGGAATAGAAATGTTTTTGTGCCATATATCAGATTAAAAAACCTAACAAATACTTATCACATTGTCATCAGGAATTTATAAAAGCTATTAACTCATATAAACAGAAACGCAGAAATTCATAATTAATCCTGCTGTTTAAAAAAAATAAAAAATGTAACAGTAAAACCAGAAAAAGCTTTCACCACTGGTCAAAACGTCCTGAAAATAAACACAGGTATAAGCGACTTTATTATTATTATTATTATTATTATTATTATTATTATTATTATTATTATTATATTATTATTTTTTTTTTTCCCTCTAACACAGTATTTGCTGAATAATAATGCTGGTTACCTTTGCACTTTTTTTCTTCTGCCTGGTATTCACTTGGCATGACTTCAAAGTTTGCTTTTGTATGGCCTGGCTGTAAAACAGCGCTCGTCCAAGTTGAAGCTTGTAGACATCGGGAAAGCTGCTGTCCACTCCTYGGGATATCATCATTTTTGGAACAGCTTTTCCAACACAAACCATTTTCTGATGTGCCAACTACTTCCCACTTGTGATTTCTGTGAGGCAGCTGAGTCAGTCTGCGCCAGGACAGGAGGCCACTTTCTCGAGGTTTGGCAAACACTGCAGGGTGACAAGCTGTTGGCATTGCCAAAATCTTGCTCAGGTGTGGTGTTTTGGAAAGCAAGCGGGTCCCCAGCTGTCCCGGTGCCGCAGTATTCCCACGCATCTCCACTGGACTGCACTGGTCTGATGCCGAGCCCTTCAGCCATGCCCATTCAGCAACCATAGTTTCCCTCCAGTACCATTAAATATAAAAATTCCCCGTCTCTGAAGCCCGCACAAGTCGGCAGCGCTAACGTGGACAGGTTACCRCTCGATGCAACTTTCCCAACACCACAACCAGCACATGGGCCCCGCGGCAAGTTACCACCGATTTATTGCCTCGCTCCTATGATCATTTGAGGTCTTGTAGGTCGAGGCTGGTCGTGAACAATTTTCAGATACTTAAAACACAAAACATCAAGGATTCAGCCTTGTTTGACTTTGCTCTTATCGTAGGCTGACCTGAGGGACACTCTGTTACCTAAGTGTGACATTCTTATGTGGGCATGCTTAGCTGTCGCACTTGAGACACCTCCTGCCTTTKCCTGGTGCTGCCCACAGGGCAGTGTCAGCCGCGTATTTTTATCCACAGGAGTTTGGGCGTCCGGCTCCTCYGAAGATAATACCACCACAGCGGCACGGCTTGATCTAACTAGTCAAAAAGCTTAAGCACATTTATTTATTTATTTATTTTATACGGAAGACACTGAAATACCAGCAGTTGATAAAACTCTAAATCTAAATATAGCCTGTTTTCTGTTCTTGGGGCAGCAGAAATAAGTGCAACAGAAATGCCACTTCACAGTTGATATTCCACATTTAAAGAAATTATTTTATTTTAGATTACACGCATGCAAATATAATTGAAAATTGCTTTAGAACTTGAATACAGAAAATGTCAAAATATAAAGTACTTGATGACTGACATCCACTATGCTTCAAATCCTTGTATGATTCTGCTATTTTTTTAAGGATCTAAGAGTAAATTTTACATAATTTTTACTTAGTAAAGTCACTGATATCCATATGAGCAAATAAATGCATTCCAAGTCCTGATTTCCTGATAAAAATGTTTAAAAATAAGCTGAGGGTTCAGTTACCAGAACTATCAAACTATTACTGTTTTWAAAAGTTTTTTCTTAAAAATTCTGTTAAGTGGGACACTGATAATAAAGGACATATTTCATAGATTTAATCATGGTCAGTATTAAATACTATTATTTTATATTAATATTGTATATTATGCTGCATATTATGTCCCTGTTCACATACTGGGTTTTAATAAATCCTAAATGATGATTAATTTCAAAAGTAAATCCATACATTTCTTTTTTTCCCTAATTTGAACATTTTTAGATCTTGTAGCCTTCAAAGAAAATAAAAACTTGACAGGAAAAACTATATAAGATGATATAAATATATGATATAAAGATACACATATCTGTGTACACATATATGAGTATTTCTATGCTTCTCTCATAAATACAGGTATTTTATACTTTGCTAGTTTCTTGAAAAGTTCACTGACTCCACAGAAGTCTCAACTCYGTGAAAAAAACTCAGTTACATAATTTACTCAGTTCTTGCCTTTTGTCCCAGAAATGAGGCCAGCGATTCATAATCAAGACTCCTCAGACTTGTTATGCATAAATTTCTACATCTTTTCACCAACTTTATCTTCCTAAATATTAAGAGGAATTTTCACAAAATGCATACAGATTTTTACACGTAGTGAGCAATTTTAAAACATACTGTCTTATTTCTGTTTGCAAAGCATGTTGGGGACTTTTAAATATGATTATTGGGGCACATTTAAATGATGAGAATAACCTGTTGCTATTAAAGTTTCTATCCCTTGGAATCTGCCCAGGCAGCACTGTACAAGAGCTAACTCACAGTCATGTAACTTGAGCTTTTCCTTTCCTCTTAGTTCCCTTCAAAATCTGTCTCACTACCTTGACTCTTAGTTGCAATTTATTTAATTTTACAAACTTCCACTTTACTTCACAAATTCTTGTAAGTCTGCAGGGACCTTCTGCTCATTTYTTGCTAGAAAGAGTAAGTATTAAGGAGTTACAACTAAGGAATCTCATATTTTGTGCTCTTTTCCTGTATGTCCGTGCACAGTGCACATATATATATCCTAAATTACCATTCAGCTTGTTAGGATGTTAAATTACAGTTTAGGTGTTTTTTCTTTCTTTGTTTTCTTTTTTTTTTTTTTTTTTTTTTTTTTTTTTTTTTTTTTTTTTTAGCAGAGAATATGTTTAAATCCATTACATTTGCTTCTGGTGTTTTGGTTTCATCCTTGATAAAGGATGATAATTTAATATTTTCTGATCTCCCTAAACCTCTCTCTCTCTAGCTACCCTTAAAAAGGCCCTAATTGAGGGCAAAAGCAGTACAGTTTCCTGGGTGAATCACAACTACACAGGCCCCATTTCAGAGTAAAGGGGGACTAATGAGAAGCTGCTTCTTGTCAACCTAACTTAAGGAATCATCAAGTAATTCGAGAGATATTTAAGCAGCTCATTGTGGCAGTAACTGACATATGAGCAGCCAGCATTTCAAAAGACTTTCTCAGGTTCCCATCAGAGTCCACCTAAAAGTAAGGCTGCTCTAGAGAAAAGCGAAGTTTAAGCAACCAAGGGCCAATCAAGCTAGCCTAAAAGGACGGGCAAGGAGAAATCCTCAGAAATCCTTCCTAACAGGCCAAGCTAAGGCTTCTAATGGACAGATATGAGGGACAGCCTGTCCCCAGAGATGCAATGTTACTGGAGCAAACACCTGCAAGAGCAGCAGAATAATTCACTGGTTTCTATATCTCAAACAGTCCCACACCTTTCTTCATGCTTCCCTAGAGGGGAGAGGAAAAGCCTCTCCCTTCAGCAGCGTATCTCAAGAGCACTGAGTCCTCGCCGCTGGGGGAGAGGGCTCTCACTGCAACGAGCTGGGCAGCTATCCCCAACTTCAACCCCCACGAACACTCAGGGTGCACGGGGGAGACCCAAGAAGAGCAATGAAGAGAGATCCTGGTCAATGTACTCATCTTACCCCAGGGTGAAGGCATGTGGGGCATCCTGCCTGATGCACCCTGTTTTTCCTATGTGTGACGTGTGGTTTGCTGCACCCAAGAACAGCATTTCTATTACCACTGTGTTATTACTTTATACAGTTAACTCCAATTGGCCAGCTGGGTGCATCAGCAGCAAGCGCTCATTAGCAGAGGAAACTGTGCTGCCCAGGCTGTGCCCACATTTGGGAAGACATTTTGGAGGAGCACAAATCTTTCTTTCTTTTTCACCCTCAGCAATAGGCCAGCCTTTAGTCCTGAGACACCAAGCAAATCACCAGTTCTGCAATGTCACAGGATTTGCATTTTCACATTTAAAGATGTTTCTTCTCTACAAGCAGTTGTTCCAAAACTGCTCATAGYCTCCAAGAATTTCAGCTTGTAGCTGATCAAAACAGCAGATGAAGAGTGGAGTAGTCTCTGAGTTGTCACTAAGTGACTTGATTGGAAACAAAAGACTGAGAAAAGTGACATTTTAATACAGGTTTACCTCTTGCAATATTTGAAATTTCCTGCAAACTGAGTAGCAAGTGCAGCAGCATTTCTACTCCTCTTCAAACAGTGAAGTATACAAGCATCTAAGGACACCGAAGTGGGTTGGTTTCTAAGAGATCAACTAAGGCAAATGCAAACAGGATTATGACTGAGCAGTGAATAGTAGGTTGATCAAGCAGCCCAGCTTTGTATGGACCCAGTCCAAAGATACTAGATGATTTTTACTTAGCAACCTAATACCAAAAAAAAAAAAAAAAAAAAAAAAAAAAAAAGAGCTGGGATTAAAGGACACCTCCAAACCAGTAAAATTAAAACCTGATTCATGTTTTGTACAAGTGTTTTGAAGCATGCAAAGTAACTATCAGTAAAAGCATGTGAATTTTACTGATGTATTTATGCTTGGAATGATGAAACTATTTGTGCCAGACAAGGTTAAGGTTATGCTTCTCATAAGTGTTACTGTGCAGAGCATTTTCTTTTCATACCTTTCACACCTTCATTTTGCTTCTCCTCTCTCTCCTGCCCTTCTCTCCTCCCTCTCCCTTCACTTTTCTGCAGAATAACATCACTATATTTTCATCTTCTTTATCAAACATGGAAACCATGTTTTTCCAATAGGGTTTCTTAACTTTTAAACTAGGTTTATATTTTTCTTCAGTAAGGAAGAGGATGGAGCATGGATGAATGGAGCTAATACAGACTGGTCAGATTCTTTCTTACAGCTATCCAAACTATGCTGTCATATTATGTACCAAATAAAACCTTTGAGAACATGATGTGATTTATATCCTCAAATTTTAAAATGTAAGAGTAAAAACAAAATTGCACAGTGAGAGATAAAGGGTTTGAAGAAGAATATGGAACCAGTGATGTCCATTGAAATCACTAGGTCATTTCTGGCATTTCAGAAAGATGCCTGTGTTTATGGAAGATGGCATCCGAAAAGATGCCTAAGTTTGTGGAAATAAATAGTGCCCTGGATTATTTAATCCAGGACAGGAAAAACTCCCTTTACTTGTATCAATATTATAAAATCTTTAAATTACCRTTTAGAATATAGTTTTAAATATAATGGAGGTTATTTTAGTATGTTCAAATAATCTTATGGATAAAGTTTAAAAGTGGTTCACATTATTAAATGTAAAGGGTTCTTAATGCATAAAAAATATAATATCAACAAACTTATACTGCACTATACACTGCAATAGCTGACATAACATAAATCAGCTCTGCAGTATGAACCATTGCAACTGCTTTTTAAAAACATATAATATTTTTATTAACTATTAACTATTTTTATTAACAATTATTTTTAACTTTTTAATTTATTTTTAACTTTTTAATTTATTTTTAACTTTTTAACAATTATTATTATTAACTATTTTATTAACAAAAGAAATACCAGATATATTTACCTCAGCAGGAATCAGGACTTGACATTGCATTCAAGTTTCTGAGCATAAGAAGAAAACGTATTCACAAGAAGACTATCTAGAGCAACGTGACAGCTCATCTACAGGGTAACCAGAAGCAGCTTCTAAATAAATAGTTTGGGGGTTGGGTATGCAAAGTACTATTGGAAASCCTCTACCTAGGAAAATGAATAGTTTCATTTC